ATTTTGGACATTATTTTTTAGGGGGAAAAACCAAGTCTTATACATGGAAAAATATGGTAATTCTTTTCTACAACAACATTAACCTCATACCCAAGTACATGTGCTTAATATCAAGACACCAGAATCAAACTCTGTTATGGTTTAAGTGTGGCTAAAATTCAAAACCGCACATGTATAGAGTATTATTCTTAAAATTCATTGTTGGAAAACTATGTTTTCTTTGTGTTTCGCTCTAAGAATCAAGAATGCAGCAGCAGTTGTAAACTATGAAATGGTTGCGGGATTATGGGGAGAGAAGAGAAATATTAACTGGGTGCTTCACAACCTAAGTAAAACACATGACCACCTAAAAAGAAGCATTAAGGCCAAAGTCTAAAATTACCTTGCTCTATCACTGATCAAGGCAGTAAGTCGTTTTCAAGGGAATACTTAAATTGTGTTGGTTTAAGCAAACTGACTGATGTTTTCACGTTCTAAAATACGGGGCTTATCTAGGCTGCCACCTTGCGGAACACATTAATCTCTTTTACATGTGGCTTTAATGTGTGTCTCATTTGTAAGATCTGCACAGGGCACAGCTGGTTAGAAATGTAGTCCCTAATGCGTGTAGCCATGGCTCAGTGGGAGAGCATCTGCACTGCATGCAGAGTCCCCAGTTAAATCCCTGGCGCAGCCAGGTAAGGCTGGGAAATATGCTTGCCTGAAATTCTAGAATGCTGCCGTCAGTCAAGGCAGACAAAACTGATTAGGTGTGATTCCTGTGTACATTACCAGGGTGTTTGTGTATTGGACAAGATTACCCTTTCGGGCCCTTCCAACTCTACGACTCTGTGAGCTAGATTGGAGGATTGGCGGCCAAGTTCTAATCCATTATGTGCAGAAACAGGAAGAAATAACAATGTGTGTACTTGCGACTCTGAGTACTCAGCTGATGCACAAGTGACGAGCTCTGACAATGCCTATAGACAACACATTTATTGAGAAGTTATCCTTATTTTACTTGCACAAAGCTTATTTGGAGGTTAGACCATACCTCAGCTTTATTGAGGATTCACTCTGATTTGTTTGAGGGGAGGTTACAGTATAGGACCGTGAGCATTCATCTTGATTTGCTTGCACGGTGTTTATACGTATGTTCGTTTGTTCCACACACTTCAATGCATTTTCAATGTATTTCCCAGTCAGTTTCCTAACAGCAAAAGTAATTGATGCACTAGGGCAGCAGAGAGCTGGACCATAAAGAAGGCTGATCGCCGAAGAATTGATGCTTTTGAATTATGGTGCTGGAGGAGACTCTTGAGAGTCCCATGGACTGCAAGAAGATCAAACCTATCCATTCTTAAGGAAATCAGCCCTGAGTGCTCACTGGAAGGACAGATCCTGAAGCTGAGACTCCAATAGTTTGGCCGCCTCATAAGAAGAGAAGACTCCCTGGAAAAGACCCTGATGTTGGGAAAGATGGAGGGCACAAGGAGAAGGGGATGACAGAGGACGAGATGGTTGGATAGTGTTCTCGAAGCTACCAGCATGAGTTTGACCAAACTGTGGGAGGCAGTGGAAGACAGGAGTGCCTGGCGTGCTCTGGTCCATGGGGTCATGAAGAGTCAGACATGACTAAACGACTAAACAACAGGGCAGCAGGGTGCTTTAATTCACTCCTGTTGTCCAAACCTATACATCCTGATTTGTTCTCAAATTCCTCCTGCAAAATACTGAGTCTGGTGATGCCTTTAAGGATATTGTGAATTTTATTAAGCTGCTGCATGCTACCCCAATCTCTGAGCAGCACAAGATTCCAGGGGTACCAGACACTGACCCAGAATTCCAGCAGAAACCAGCCTTGGCTCACTCTCTCTGCCTTTGCAGCCTGCAGCTTTTGCATCCAGCTTCTAGCTCAGACCACTCAACTCTGGCCTTTTGTCTTTCTAACTAACAGACAATTGAGGGATGGAGGCTCACCCATTTGCCCACAGAGCCACCCCCTTTGTTCCCTTAAAGACTTATATTTAGTGGGCCATTACCAGGCTGGCCTGGCTATTCCAGCAGTGGAATCCATGGTGGATCCCGGAATTAAAAGTGTGGTTCGGGCACACAGTGCCCCCCCCCCCGCCCAAACTCATAACAATACATTTTGTGGGTTTTATTTTCATCTTGCAGTAATTATTATTTTATGGTGAGCTGCTTACTTACATTAAAAAGTGCAAATACTTTCCCCCTTCTTTTTCCTAGAAAATGATTAGGTGATCAAGGGGGAAAGAGTAAGAAATCACCAGTCCTGGGACCACTGCATTTTCAGTTGTGATTCCTGAGACAGCTTCTGAACTGACTTACAAGAACAAAGTCATGTAGGGAACAGCACTGCAGAAACAGTGGGTGGCTTGGTTTTATTCTCCTGTATAGTATTTAATTTTATTTCTGGCTTGCATGCGTGATGACATATTGCTTCGTCCCCCCTTTTAATGCTCCGAACACGGGAAAGAATAATCAGTACTTTTAATTGCTGAATTTAAAAACATCCAGATAACAAATGCCCCCTACTTATATAACATTTTGCAACTTCAAAGAGGTACGCAGATCTTAACTCATTAATCTCAAAATATCAGTGTGAGGAAGTTAATTAAATATTACTGTGCATATTTTAGAGATAGGGAAATGGATTTCAGGAGACCGGTAAAAGCCTCCAGCAAGGTCACAAAGCTATAATTCACAAAACTGCTTCAACTGGAGTCCTTAAATTTGAGGTGTTGGGCAGCGAAAGCGCTCGTTCAGCTTCAACAGAGCTGAAAGAGGTTTGTATTACAATCGGCAGAGACTAGTCCATTAGGGCAAATGAGGCACTACCCAACCAGTCTTAGTCTGCCCTCAATCAGCCTCTACCTGCCCACTTTCTTATTTATTACCTCCAGTCCAGGGAGTGGCCTTGGATTCTTCCTCCTTAGTCTCACTGTTGCCCATGTAGGGAGGAGGGAAGGGACAAAACCAGAATTAGTTGGCTCTCCCTGTCATGGGCTCTGGTGCCACCTACTGTTGGCCTCCCACCCCACCAGTCCCAATGGCACTAGCCACCACTGATTGTACCAGCCAAAGCAATGGGCTTTGCTTAGCAAATTGGGCCAAGGAAAAGGCAACAATCTCCTTGCAATCAAGGAACTGTCACTGAATTTCTCGAAATACTTCTTGTTCTTTTAAAAAAGACACCAAGAATTGTGCTTGTTGCGGAGATCTGGGCTTCCAGAGTTTCGTGGAACACAATTTAACTGGCCACAGGGACGCAGGTGGCGCTGTGGGTTAAACCACAGAGCCTAGGACTTGCTGATCGGAAGGTCGGTGGTTCGAATCCCCGGTGAGCTCCCGTTGTTTGGTCCCAGCTCCTGTCAACCTAGCAGTTCGAAAGCACCTCAAAGTGCGAGTAGATAAATAGGGACCGCTCTCCGGCGGGGAGCGGGAAGGTAACGGCGTTTCCGTGTGCTGCTCTGGTCCGCCAGAAGCTGCTTAGTCATGCTGGCCACATGACCCGGAAGCTGTCTGCGGACAAGCGCTGGCACCCGGCCTCTTCAGCGAGATGAGCACGCAACCTCAGAGTCGGTCACGACTGGACCTGATGGTCAGGGGGTACCTTTACCTTTAGGGGTAGTGAAAAAGATAACTGTAGGCCAGGTAGCACACAGAAGGTGACCCATGTGAAGTCATAACCTGAGGTCCCCTGAGACCATGCATTCCTGAATACACAAGAGAACACAATTTCCTTTCAATGGCAAAAGATGTGTCTAAGCATATGAAAACATGCTGACAATGTTCAAATTTCCTGTCTTGCATTGCAAGAAGATGGCTTTACTGAAACTAATGTCAAATTGAAGAAAAGCATGTGAGTATGGGATTATCCTAGATATTTCCAGAAATTGTTCACAAAATGGAATGCTAAATCTAATACTGCAGAAAACTAGAATTGGATCAAAGGGAGGAGGGATTTAGGCTATGCTTGCAACAACAGATGAAAATGTGAACAATATTGTTCAAGCTAAAAGAACAGTTCAGGGTAACTCATTGCTAACAAAGGTAGAAACTGAATTTAGTCTCTCTCTCTCTCTCTCTCTCTCTCTCTCTCTCTGGTGTTCTTTAGATCCTTCAGAACTACAAGTATCCTTTGGGATACATTGTCATTCTAATACTTTTTTTGAGGTACCTTCTGTGTGCTAAGCATGGATAAATCCCTTGGTTGTGACTGAGGAAGCAAACTAGTTAATTCCAAACTATGAGTGCAATTATATGTACAGTGGTACCTCGGGTTACATATGCTTCAGGTTACATACACTTCAGGTTACAGACTCCGCTAACTCAGAAATATTACCTCGGGTTAAGAACTTTGCTTCAGGATGAGAACAGAAATCGTGCTTCGGCGGCGTGGCAGCAGCAGGAGGCCCCATTAGCTAAAGTGGTGCTTCAGGTTAAGAACAGTTTCAGGTTAAGAACGGACCTCTGGAACAAATTAAGTACTTAACCCTAGGTACCACTGTACTAGATATGACAACAGAGGAGATTAGGATTTGTCCTAAATCCTAGACTAGGGGTCAGCAAACTTTTTCAGCAGGGGGCCAGTCCACTGTCCCTCAGACCTTGTGGGGGGCCAGACTATATTTTTTTTTTGGGGGGGGGGAGAACGAATTCCTATGCCCCACAAATAACCCAGAGATGTGTTTTAAATAAAAGGACACATTCTACTCATGTAAAAACACGCTGATTCCCGGACCGTCCGCAGGCCAGATTTAGAAGGCAATTGGGTCAGATCCATTGAGCCTTAGTTTGCCTACCCATGTCCTAGGCCACCACCAGTGTAACATTACACCAGCCAACAAAAGATGTGGTAAGTCATAACTCTTTGGCACACAGGGACACAGGAAGCTGCCTCATACGGAGGCAGACCATTGACCCAGCTAGCTCAGTATTGTCTCCACTGACAGGCATCACGTCTTTGGGGTTTCAGACTGGGGTCTCAGTCCTCCTGGAGATGCTGGGGATTGAAGCTGGGAATTTCTGCATGCAAAGCAGATGCCCTACCACTGAGCCTCAGCCCTCCCCTACTCTATGGAGAACCCCACCTGGTGTTCTGCAGACCCCCCACTAAGCCAGGAACTGCTTTGCAAAGCCAGGCTTGCCCCTATATACCATGGGTAGGCAAACTAAGGCCTGGGGGCCGGATCTGGCCGAATCGCCTTCTAAATCCGGCCTGTGGACGGTCCAAGAATCAGCGTGTTTTTACATGAGTAGAATGTGTTCTTTTATTTAAAATGCATCTCTGGGTTATTTGTGGGGCATAGGAATTCATTCATTCCCCCCCCCCCCAATATAGTCCAGCCCCCCCACAAGGTATAAGGGACAGTGGACCAGCCCTCTGCTGAAAACGTTTGCTCACCCCTGCATTGCACAACCCCCAATATGTCTAGACCTGTCAGCATAACTGAGCATCCTCTCAAACAATATTTTAGAACGGCGGCTATTTTTCCTTGTGTTTATGCATTGCAATGAATAATAGAGAAGTCAACAGGCATAGGGGCACCTTTGGCGCACTTTCCTCACCAGCAGCGCAAAACATAAATCAAATATTGATAGAGATTTAGTTTTCAGTTTCACTTTCCACAACTGCAAAGTTCAATAGTTTCTCATTGTGCCTTTCAGCAAGATGTCAATACTGTATTACTAGAGGGGGGGAGGGAATTCCCAATTAACCTCTCTGAAAGCGTCTTCTACCCTAGAGCAGCCTCCAGCCCCATAGTAAACTGTAGATGGTGCTGAGCCCCAACTTCCACCAGCTGCAGCTAAAGGTTGACTGCAGTGGGACTTGTAGTCCAAAACAGCTGCCTGAGAGCATTCATTTCCAAGCTAACTGCAACAAATGAACATTTCCTTCTTTGTTTAACACACACTGTGTTTTTATTCCCGCTTTCCTTGTGTAATATTTGGACTGTAATATTTGCTGTTATTCAGTGGAAGCTTCACCAACTTTGTTAATATGGAATTAGGCCCATGGATTTTAGGTTGTTGTTGTTGTTTAGTCGTTTAGTCGTGTCCGACTCTTCGTGACCCCATGGACCAGAGTACGCCAGGCACTTCCAGGCACTTCTGGGATTCATCCAGCCCAGCCTTTCGCATGATGAATTCTGCATATAAGTTAAATAAGCAGGGAGACAATATACAGCCTTGCCATACTCCTTTCCCAATTTTGAACCAATCAGTTGTTCCATATCCAGTTCTAACTGTAGCTTCTTGTCCCACATAGAGATTTCTCAGGAGACAGATGAGGTGATCAGGCACTCCCATTTCTTTAAGAACTTGCCATAGTTTGCTGTGGTCGACACAGTCAAAGGCTTTTGCATAGTCAATGAAGCAGAAGTAGATGTCTTTCTGGAACTCTCCAGCTTTCTCCATAATCCAGCGCATGTTTGCAATTTGGTCTCTGGTTTCTCTGCCCCTTCGAAATCCAGCTTGCACTTCTGGGAGTTCTCGGTCCATATACTGCTTAAGCCTGCCTTGTAGAATTTTAAGCATAACCTTGCTAGCGTGTGAAATGAGTGCAATTGTGCGGTAGTTGGAGCAGTCTTTGGCACTGTCCTTCTTTGGGATAGGGATGTGGACTGATCTTCTCCAATCCTCTGGCCACTGCTGAGTTTTCCAAACTTGCTGGCATATTGAGTGTAGCACCTTCACAGCATCATCGTTTAAAATTTTAAATAGTTCAGCTGGAATACCATCACTTCCACTGGCCTTGTTATTAGCAATGCTTTCTAAGGCCCATTTGATTTCACTCTCCAGCATGTCTGGCTCAAGGTCAGCAACCACACTACCTGGGGTATACGAGACATCCATTTCTTTCCGGTATAGTTCCTCTGTGTATTCTTGCCACCTCTTCTTGATGTCTTCTGCTTCTGTTAGGTCCTTTCCACTTTTGTCTTTTATTATGGTAATCTTTGTACGAAATATTCCTTTCATATCTCCAATTTTCTTGAACAGATCTCTGGTTTTTCCCATTCTATTGTTTCCCTTTATTTCTTTGCATTGCTCGGTTAAGAAGGCCTTCTTGTCTCTCCTTGCTATTCTTTGGAAATCTGCATTCAATTTCCTGTATTTTTCATTATCTCCTTCGCATTTTGCTTGCCTTCTCTCCCCCGCTATTTGTAAGACCTCGTTGGACAGCCACTTTGCTTTCTTGCATTTCCTTTTCGTTGGGATGGATTTAGTTGCTGCCTCCTGTATAATGTTACGAGCCTCCATCCATAGTTCTTCAGGCACTCTGTCCACCAAATCTAAATCCTTAAACCTGTTCCTCACTTCCACTGTGTATTCATAAGGGATTTGACTTAGATTGTATCTTACAGGCCCAGTGGTTTTTCCTACTTTCTTCAGTTTAAGCTTGAATTTTGCTATAAGAAGCTGATGATCTGAGCCACAGTCAGCTCCAGGTCTTGTTTTTGCTGACTGTATAGAGCTTCTCCATCTTTGGCTGCAGAGAATATAATCAATCTGATTTCGATGCTGCCCATCTGGTGATGTCCATGTGTAGAGTCGTCTCTTGTGTTGTTGGAAAAGAGTGTTTGTGATGACCAGCTTGTTCTCTTGGCAGAACTCTATTAGCCTTTACCCTGCTTCGTTTTGAACTCCAAGGCCAAACTTGCCAGTTGTTCCTTTTATCTCTTGACTCCCTACTTTAGCATTCCAATCCCCTATAATGAGAAGAACATCCTTCTTTGGCGTCATTTCTATAAGGTGTTGTAAGTCTTCATAGAAATGGTCAATTTCAGTTTCTTCAGCACCGGTGGTTGGTGCATAAACTTGGATTACTGTGATGTTAAAAGGTCTGCCTTGGATTCGTATTGAGATCATTCTATCATTTTTGAGATTGCATCCCAGTACAGCTTTCGCCACTCTTTTGACTATGAGGGCCACTCCATTTCTTTTACGGGATTCTTGCCCACAGTAATAGATATGATGGTCATCCGAACTGAATTCACCCATTCCCGTCCTTTTTAGTTCACTGATGCCCAGGATGTCAATATTTATTCTTGCCATCTCATTTTTGACCACATCCAACTTACTCAGGTTCATAGTTCTTACATTCCAGGTTCCTATGCAATATTTTTCTTTACAGCATTGGACTTTCCTTTCGCTTTCAGGCATATCCGCAACTGAGCGTCCTTTCGGCTTTGGCCCAGCCGCTTCATCAGCTCTGAAACTACTTGTACTTGTCCTCCGCTCTTCCTCAGTAGCATGTTGGACGCCTTCCAACCTGAGGGGCTCATCTTCCAGCGTCATAACTTTTATATGCCTGTTGCCTTTGTCCATGGAGTTTTCTTGGCAGGCATACTGGAGTGGCTTGCCGGTTCCTGCTCCAGGTGGATCACGTTTGGTCAAAACTCTCCAGTATGACCTGTCCATCTTGGGTGGCCCTGCACGGCATAGCTCATAGCTTCTCTGAGTTATTCAAACCCCTTCGCCACAGCAAGGCAGTGATCCATGAAGGGGGGATTTTAGGTTAGTTAGCCTAATTGTTGTTGTTGTCGTTTAGTTGTGTCCGACTCTTCGTGACCCCATGGACCAGAGCACGCCGGGCATTTCTGTCTTCCACTGCCTCCCGCAGTTTGGTCAAACTCATGCTGGTAGCTTCGAGAACACTATCCAACCATCTCGTCCTCTGTCGTCCCCTTCTGCTTGTGCCCTCCATCTTTCCCAACATCAGGGTCTTTTCCAGGGAGTCTTCTCTTCTCATGAGGTGGCCAAAGTATTGGAGCCTCAGCTTCACGATCTGTCCTTCCAGTGAGCACTCAGAGCTGATTTCCTTAAGAATGGAGAGGTTTGATCTTCTTGCAGTCCATGGGACTCTCAAGAGTCTCCTCCAACACCATAATTCAAAAGCATCAATTCTTCGGCGATCAGCCTTCTTTATGGTCCAGCTCTCACTTCCATACATCACTACTGGCTAATATCGGACCCAATAAGGATTTTAAAGCTAAAATCACCAAACTTACAGAATAGCATTTGCCAGCCTGGTAGTCTCATAGCCATGCAGGGGGAATTTTTTTATTTGTGCGGGAGGGGGGGAATGAGGATCATGGCTAACCGCCCTCTCCCCATGTGCTGCAGTCCCCTTAACAATCCCTCTTCCCACACCTGTAATTAAGTAAAGATGAAAACCAGCTGCATGGTATACACCTTGTATAGTTAGCTTAAGAGGAGTTATCACAGAGGTGTACAAAATTAAGCATTGTAGACAATTTTTTCTTTCTCATAACAGAAGAACTTGCTGTTTATAATTTTATATTGTTCAGAGACAAAACTGTCTTGCAATTCTTAAACTCGATGATTAACTTGATCAGTTGATTTTCATATTTCTGGGTGGTTAGAGAACTGCAGGAGATGATTCTGACTCCAAAGCAACCAAGTTATCAGTGTCATAGCAGCACTCCTCTGAGTGAAGAGATGCAGCAGCAAATATAATTCTGAGTGGAAATATAGCCAAACAAATTGTACAAATCATCTAGTCAGACTGAGTCATCACATGCAGCCAACTTATTCTTGAGGTTCAGAATAACATAATAAGAATGTTTGCACATATAAAAGAATCAACCTTAAGAAATCAGATTCTGAATGTGTGTGTGTGTGTGTGTGTGTGTGTGTGTGTGTGTAGGAGTCTTGCAAACAGAAATTAAAATTATATATCACTTCTATTCCTCCTTTTTTTTTGCCATGCATGCCAAATCAGCAAATCAAGTAATGTTTACAGTGCTTCAGTTCTATAATTTAATGAAAGTCCTTGAGAATATCACATAAAGACTGGCATATTCTTTGGTTTCTTAATTCCATCTAGACCTTTTCTATGCACATACAGTGCATTTGGAGGAGCTTTGGGATCTGTCTTAAGAGGGGGAAAAGGAATAAATATTCCATAAGTGAATTTTTGCTATGAAACTCATCCAAGTGATTAATCAAAATGATATGCTGAGACTCCCTGTTTATGGCTTCATATTTCAAGGGACAGAGTTAAAGATCATGAAACAGTTTAGCATCTTGGCCACCAGACACAGAAATGACAGGCAGCTGCATCTGAATTATATTGCAGATGCACATGTAAAGGTCAGAGAAACCTGGTGACATTTGGAGATACATATTTACTGGAGACTATTTCCTTTGATACAGAACTAACATGTGTCCAGATTGAAAAACCTATTTGTTGTCTTATCCCACGATATAGGGGTTTCAGAAGGTGCAGATTCATCACACACACACACACACACACACACACACACATACACACACTCACTCACTCTTCTTATTTGTAGACAATATAGCATTTCTATAGATACTATGAACAGGTTGTTAGCAAAATGTATTCTTCAAATTATTGGATTTTTTCCTGGAAAGTGTGTATCTGCAATAAAAGGGGAAAATCCTGTCGGTACTAACAATCCCACATGGATGCTTTGAAAAATTTGCATGTGTGAAGAGCACCCATCCCACAATAAACATCTGCCTGGAAACATCCTCCTGTGACAAGCCCTCAGTCTTCTTTGTGTACCACAAAGTCTTGGTTTAGTAGCCATATATCCATGTAAGAGAAGAACTGTACGTTGGGTATATACAGTATACAATCACAGGGATTTATGGAGTAGAAAGATGTGAATACTGTGAAGAACCCCTTAGGTGAGATGCATCTGCTATGAACAGAAACACTTTCTGGTACCTTGTCAGGTCTACCTCACTGGAGGCTGGGGAACTATTGCCAAGGATGGGCAGATTTTGACCCTACAGTGAGTGCCCTGGAGTGTGATACTTCTTCCCTGTAAGAGTTATTGGCAGATAACTAACATGGGATAAATGAGTGAAATCTGGAACAACCATGCCAATATTATTGTAAGAAAGTAAGAAGAGCCTTGCTGCATCAGGCCAATAGCCCATCTAGTCCAGCATCCTGTTCTCACAAAGGTCAACCAGATGTCAGTGGGAAGCCTGCCAGAAGGAACTGAGTTCAGCTGTGGCAGCAGAACACAGCCATTGTGACTAGTAGCCACTGGTGTCCACCAGCTTTGAGTGTGCCATTTCAAAAGATGTCTTTTTGCTGCCAAAAAAATATGACATGGTAAGAATGATTCAAAGAATACAGATGAGAGTCGCCTCATCTGCTGTCAACCGCCGCTCACCTTTTTATGATCAAACCAATAGCCTGATCCCTCCCTTACCATTTATCACATATTACTGGAAGTTATTGAAGCAAAACCTTATTTAATCAGATGGAAGCACTACTGAAAACATTTTCTTATAGGGACGATAAATCCATGGGAGAATACACACCACTTTAGGTCAATTTTCAGTTATTGGTTTGGCTATGGCAGTCATGTTTATAGGATATAAAGCCACTTTTTCAGTATACAAAGATCTATGCAACGATTATCACGCACAGAATCAAGGGCAACTATAGCATCATCTAGATTTTCCCCTCAAGTGGAGATTGAACTGCACCTGTCAAACTATGATCACCATACGGTTGGACATCACATATTTAGCTGTGATTTGACACCTTGTAAGCAACTCCTCTGTGTATAGAAGTGAGAGCTGGACCATAAAGAAAACTGATCGCTGAAGAATTGATGCTTTTGAATTATGGTGCTGGAGGAGACTCTTGAGAGTCCCATGGACTGCAAGAAGATCAAACCTATCCATTCTTAAGGAAATCAGCCCTGAGTGCTCACTGGAAGGACAGATCCTGAAGCTGAGGCTCCAATACTTTGGCCACCTCATGAGAAGAGAAGACTCCCTGGAAAAGACCCTGATGTTGGGAAAGATGGAGGGCACAAGGAGAAGGGGACAACAGAGGACGAGATGGTTGGACAGTGTTCTCGAAGCTACCAGCATGAGTTTGACCAAACTGCGGGAGGCAGTGGAAGACAGGAATGCCTGGTGTGCTCTGGTCCATGGGGTCACGAAGAGTCGGACACGACTAAACGACTAAACAACAACAAAAAGCAACTCCCCCCCCCACAGTCCCCCGTGATGTGATGTGGTGGGTGCTGTTGTGACACCGTGATGTCCTGGCATCGCATGTGTGAGCATTGTGCCTCCCTCCCCAAGCCGGATAGAAGCTTCCTGGCCTTTGGGAAGGAGGTGCCATACTTTAATACTCTAACTGACCAGGCACATTTAGGGGACAAGCCTAAATATGTGCCTGGCCTAGAGAACCAAGAAACACTTCCAGGCGCTTCCCACTACAGTACTTCCTATATAGCATTGAGCCCATTTTCCTGCCCTTGCGCTGGGGGTCCTTTGGCCTACATAGGTACGAATAATCTATCCAATATTTGAGGCTGTTATTGACCGGCTAGCACCACCACCTTGCTTTCGGCGGCTCCAAACTGCCTTGCCTTTAGCCCCAATCCTGTAAGGCCTCGGGCCCCAGGGAGCGCCCCAAAGCAACTCATCCCGCGCCACTTTGCGCACAAAAGCGCAACAGGCAAGGCGCATTGGGGGGCAAAGGGCTTTCTTTTTCGGGTGCGTATGTTTGTGATCTGGCTCTACGTTCCCGATTCCGAGCGTAGATCGGGGAGGGTTGGCCGAGCAGGTGGCGAGAGCGAGGCACGATGCGGGGCGGCTGGTGGGGCTGGGCTCTTCTTGGGAAAACGCCCCTCCTCCCCGCGCCCTTCCTTCAGCTTTCTCCTCCCGGCCAACAAAACCGAAGATTAGCGAGCGAGAGGAAGGGTCGTGCTGGGTAATAACAATGCGCGCGCGGGGGGCGGGGGCTGCATCGGGAGCCACTTGCCGCGGCGACAGCAGCAGCAGCAGCAGCAGCGACGGCTGCCGCCCAGGGAGCCTTGATTGACGTCGACCTGCTCGCGAAGCGGCGCATCGAGCGCCAGGCAGAGCCAAACAGCCGCCGAAGCCACCGGCTGGCTCGCGCCAGAGGAGCACAAAGAGGCGGCAGCTCCATCTTTCCCAGCAGCAGCGAACCGGCCCCTCCGAAGAGGATCGCCGCCCGCCTTCGCGCCCTGTCTGCGGCCGGACGGCGCCGGCATCTGGGCAGGAGGGCGAGGAGGAGCAGGAGACCCACATGGGCATGTCCTTGGCTCGTCTGACCGCGCTCCTCGCCACTGCTTCCCATCGCAGGGAGCTGCCGTAGCTGATGGATGCCGGAAGGTGCCGCATTGCCTTGTGTGGTTTTGCAGCCTGCTTTGCTGGTGCGGATTACTTGGCTGTTCCCTTTTCGCCCCGGATGCCTTTCTCCTGGCGGATGGCTGTTCTGTTGCGAGGCGACTGAATCCTCTCTGGTCCTGCGACTCTGTCTGTCCTCGCGGGGAGCGGGGCGGGTGGTGGGGAGGAAAGGACCTGGAGGATATTTTTACCCCCTTCCTGAGAAGACCTGGGAGCGAGCGAGAGGGACATGCGACAGTCTTGCTGGTAGTGGATGAGATCACTGTGTACGTAGGAGGGGAACTGGGGTGGGTGGGGGAGGGCGAATCCATCCCAAGCTCCATGGGCTAAAAGGAGTGGGGTGGGGGTGCAAAAAAGAACCTCGGGTTTTTATTTTTATTTTTTTAAAGAAGCACCCTTCAGCGGACCAGTTGCATGCCCTTAGCACCCTGTCACGCACTGACTTCTAAATCCACGAGGATCTGAGTTTCTTATTTTGCGGGAGGGAGGAAGTCCCTGGTGGAAACATTGCATTGCCACCTGATTTATTGATACAGCTCTTCTTGCTGTCTCCATTGCACCAGTACCAAGGGTGAGATCACTGGTTTGCACAGAGGAGTGAGGTGGGAATATCTGAAGACAGGGGTGGTGGGGGGAGGGGGAGGAGAGAGATATCCAGTACTGATTGCCCCCAGCTTGGGGAAAGTCACTGTACAGCGGCTGTTTGGCCTTCCTCTCTGCCATCATGTTGCTTTAACAGTACCTGCTGATCAGGGAACCTGGTGATCCAGCCAACATGACTAGTTAACCCAAAGGACAATATTGTGTGGGAGGGAGGCAGGGAGCACCATTGCTGGAGCCAGACTATAAAGAATACCAGCTCCATCTACTTGGGCCGTGCCAAAGCCATTATTTCTGTCAATCAACAAGCAATTGCAGTGGAAGGATAGCAATTGGGGGTTCGGTTATATGCAAGGTATAGTTATACTGCAGCTTTGAGCTGTTAGTGGGTGTGGGAAGGGTGGGAATTTGAGGGCGAGGAAGAAAAGCAGCAGCTGAGTGGAGTCACTGTGAACGGGCCACCGTGAGATGGAAAGGGGAAACAGGAGCTGAGCGGGTTGTGCACACTGGACGACATCAGGGTATTTGCTTCGGAGAGATTCATGCTGTGAGGCAAAGGAGCACCAAACTTGTCGGTTCTGGAAAGGGAAATAAGGAACTCCCCTCTCTTTTTTTTGGAAAGAAGAACAGACTTTGTGGCATTAGGGGCTGTCTCCCTTTTTACTTAAGAGGAGTATTGGACGGAGTGGCACAATGACTCATTTGCAGGCAGGCCTGTCCCCAAAGACGCTGGAGAAAGCCCGGCTGGAACTGAACGAAAACCCGGACACCCTGCACCAGGACATCCAGGAGGTGCGGGACATGGTCATCACCCGGCCAGACATTGGCTTTCTCCGCACGGACGACGCCTTCATTCTCCGCTTCCTTCGGGCCAGGAAGTTCCAGCATTTTGAGGCGTTTCGCTTGTTGGCCCAGTACTTTGAGTACCGCCAGCAGAACCTCGATATGTTCAAGAGCTTCAAAGCCACGGACCCAGGCATCAAGCAGGCACTCAAGGATGGCTTCCCAGGAGGACTGGCTAACCTTGATCACTACGGCAGGAAGATCCTGGTTCTGTTTGCTGCCAACTGGGACCAAAGCAGGTAAACATAAGAGTTTTGGTTGTGGGCAGCTGGGGTCAGATGAGACACTCGCCTGAATTTACCATCGTGCTGCAATCTAGAAATGTCACCTCATCATAGCAAACTGAAATCCCGTTTGGCCCCAGTGATGTAATGATGTTAATATTCCTTTCCGAGCCAGCAGAATGCTGGGCGTAAGGCATCTTGTTTTGTCCTGGGTTCTCCGTGTGGCAAATTGCAATTTTGATGATCCAGATGTCCTGTCACAGTGGGGTGGTTTGATAGGTGTCGTGTCCTTCAAATTCTTTCCAAACGCAGAGCTCAGAGACAGGGAGAACCAACATTCTTAGGTTCACATTTGCATTGGGCCATAAAATGTTGGAGAGGGGAACGATGAATGGAAACTTATTCTTTTATCTTGGATCCTTCACTTGGAGGGCTGTTGACTAAGGCATTGTAGATATCCTGCTCAGTAGGGGAAGAGGGATGGTCTTGATATACCACCTTTAATATCTTTCTGTGACAAGAGCTGTGATGCCTGTAAAGGAGCAAAAGTGTTGGCCGTTTGTCCTGTCACTAACATATTTATCCAATGCAGTTTTGCCTGTTTCTGTGAAATAAGCAGTCAGCTGGGACACAAACAGAGGATGACGTTCAGGAGTGCTTATTTGCATGTCAACCATAGTCTCTCAGGTCCTGGTCCTACACTATTCAACCCATAATTACTCAGAATTTGCCCCAGTTTGGAGGTAATTTTTATAGTGTTTCCCTCTGGTCATCTTCCATGTTGTAGCAGCAAAGCCTGAACTTCTGTATCAACATGGGTTGCCCAGAAGATAGAGGTATTTCCTAAGACAACATTCCACTTCTCTTGGTGTCTGCATTATGGAAATTACCCATTGTGATATATAATTTCAGATGATACCAATGAAATGTGGGAGCCAATCATAGTGGGACAGAAAATTTGAACTCTGACTTGTTATTCTACCAGCTTGGTTCAGTGGAAGTTGATGGAACTCAGCTGAGATAAGTGCTGCACACATGCTGATTAAGCACTCTGTCACAATGTTATTGAGCCCACAAGGAGCACCCTATGCACTTGATCCAACCCTCTTGCAGGTACCTTGGAAAAGCAAGGACTTTATCTCGGAGGCAAACTCCATGACTCCTGCCAGTAAATCTATTTATCCTCAAATTTATCAGATGCCTTTCCAGGCAATGAACATCAGTTGCTTAAAATGTAGTGAAATGATAATGCAAATGCAAAAGCAGAGTAGTCCTAAAAATATCTTGTAGCAGGAAATTGAATATTCATCCCCAAAGAAATGCCTTTATTCTCATAAAATCCTGCAAGGCTCCATCAAGTCTCCAGAGCATGCAGACTTCCTGGCCCAGACTGGTCCCAGTTTCCATTGTCTGGTGTGTGTGAGCACAGGCAAGGGACCAGCCTGGTTTAACGCACTGGAATCTCTGATGTGCTGGGGATGGATATGCTTTAGGGCAGTGATGGGGAATCTGTGACCCTCTAAATGTTGCTGTACTAAACTCCCATCATCCCTGACAAGTGGCCACGCTGTTTTGGGTTGATGGACACTGGAGTCAAACAACATCTGTAGGGTCACAGGTTTCCCACTCCTCCTCTACAATTAAAAGGGTATTGGCTATCAGGTCTGGCAAAGGCCTTTGCCCAAGGTTTTGGAGGGCAGGAATTACTAGGCATTAACAACCTTGAGTTACATGTTCTGTGCTGCGATTGTTCACGTTTGCTCATTCTCTCATGTATATACTGAATGGATGGAGAAGGGAACAGAATTAGTGTTTGGCTCCATCTTCAACAGGAACAGTAAAACAACAAAATAGGCCTTATTATGGCATAGGTTTTCATTGACAACAGCTGTATTAATCAGATGCAGGAACTGAACTGAGACGGTAGGAGGCATGAGGTGAAGTGTAGTAGAAAATAAATCATACTAACCTAGTTCTGAATTTTCATTCAAACCCTTCCATTTATCAAACTAATACATGTAATACAAATGATTGTACATAGAGCAGAGGGAACAATACATATCTTGTCAAAATGACAGCAGAAACAGAAACACAAGGAAGCCATATTTGCTTATAAGGACTTACACTTTGGGGGGGGGAGGCAGTTACACCCAGGAGTTGATGTTAAACACTGCCACCATCACAAGGTGATGGGGGGGGGTTAATTAAAAAGGTAAAGATGAGATCATCAGGATGCTGGATTCTGTAGTGTCAGTTTTGAGCTTTTCCTGCAATTGCACATAACCATGAAATAGGCACAGCCCTGGTTAAAACCTGCTGAAGCATAATTTGTAAATTAAGCCTTTCCAAAAGGAAATTCTACCCTGTCAATTGTTTATCATTTACACTGGTACAACCCCATGCTGTATCAGTGTGAAAATAACAATAGCACAATCCTATATATCTTTGCTCAGAAGGAAGCCCATTTTGTTCATGTTGGGGATTACTTTCAGGTAAGTGTGCATAAGATTGCAGCCTCAGTATGTGCATTTACTTTTAAATATGTTTTGAGAGTTGGCAACGGTAAGAGTTAATTTTGCTTATATCACACAAGTGCTACAACCACTTTACAGATGCGTAATTGTGTCTCTTTTCTTAAGGCATACAACATTTTAGAAATGGGATAAACAGTGGTTTTCTAACAGCATGCATAAATAGGGGGCATTAAGCACAGTTAAATTAATCATGGATCTCAGATTATCTTTAGAAATTAGTTATACACTACTGAGTACATAAATGTGACCCATGAGACACTATAAGAAAGCTAAGTTTCAGTGAAGGCAGCTGGATATAAAACAGAATTTAATTTACTGGCATGCTAATGCAAATTTTCTCTATGTTACTGAAAGGCAACTTGCTTTTTCAGCTCTTGACATTCTTTGCTATTTATTTGAGAAAACTTGAAGATGGAGAAGGAAGAGGTTACTCTTACTTAAATTGCGTCTAATTTTGACTTACAGACACCCTACAGTGGCCTTTGGGAAATTACACATAACTTCATATGTGGCAACATACATACTGTTGTTGTTGTTGTTGTTTAGTTGTTTAGTTGTGTCCGACTCTTCGTGACCCCATGGACCAGAGCACGCCAGGCACTCCTGTCTTCCACTGCCTCCCACAGTTTGGTCAGACTCATGTTTGTAGCTTCGAGAACACTGTCCAACCATCTCGTCCTCTGTCGTCCCCTTCTCCTTGTGCCCTCCATCTTTCCCAACATCAGGGTCTTTTCCAGGGAGTCTACTGCTTACTTTTAATCACTTGATAAGTCATTGAAATGGATTGGGTAAATATTTTATAGGCACTCCCAAAGTCAGCAAGTTTGATTTAGCTCTGAAACAAACTCTGGGGCTGGAGGATCCTGAAGCATATTCTCCAAACTCAGTTTGTACACAGAAATCTGAATGCATGTTGACCCAGTCCTCCCTGCTCCACAAACAGTCCTCTCATGGATAGTTTTTGATGTGGTGGTAGTTGTAAAAGCACTACATTTCCTTCAAAGAGATTTACAGGATTGCAAATTTAAGTGTCCCTCAGAACAGAGCACTTGGGAATTTTTCAGAATTCAAACTCTAAAATGTTGGCAAATTTCAAATTTGAGAAAAACTTCGTTTCAGCTCTACTTCAAACATAACATTTAAGTCCTTAAGGTCTATTTCAGAATGGAGCATGTGTTGTGTTTCATCACTCAGGAGAATACGTTAATGTAATCTGTCATGAGCCTGTGATGGAACTTCAAGTTTACATTCATCCGCCTTACTGTGCTGTCAACATAAATAACGATAAGGATGAGGTGAAATGTTGGATATTGCAAGTCTAGGGTGAATTTATGCAAATAGTTCCTTCTGTGGGAAGACTTCAATGCAGATGTCTTTCATCATAATTTGCTTGATGCTGCCGCTTTGAAAACAAAAGCTTACAATTTGTGATTCCTACAATGAATCATGGGGCTAATGGTTCGGATGTCTTAGCCAAGTCTGGAATCAATACCTGGTATCCTAACACCAGTTGCTGGGTTTGTCGGCTGCCATTTACACTTCCCAGGACATTCTGGACTAACATTATGTTGGGCACTTCGGAGCATTGCTAGAAATTTAAATGCCAGCTCTCAATCATCCTTGCGACTGCCCATCCATTTTCAGATATGCCTGAGGGATCCAGCAACATGAGAAGGGAGACACAGAGGGCATTTTGCTCATGCCTCTTCAAACCTAGCTTTGGCCCTGGTTTATCACTGAGCTATTTTTTTTAATAAAAAAATTGCTGCCTTAAATTGTGTCCTGTAGTGGATATTATTATTCATCAGTGGTGGTGCAAAATGAAGCGTCCTTATCTCAATGCCATGTAAGGCAAGGAGAAGGCCACTTAAGAAAACCAAGGTATCCCACAGAGATTGCATATTGACTGCTATTTTTAAGTACTTTTAATAGGTCTTTCTGGATGAACAGGTTCTTTTAATGCTCTGTTCTTTTTAAAGTTAATGGCTGCAAACCTGAAAACAGTTATGCTTCAAGAATCCAATTGACTTCCATGAGCTTTAAGCAACTCAACAGGGAGCAGGACTGCAGCCAGTATTGTTAGCTAGCTAATGAAGATTCCACAGTAGGTAAATCATGGAGAGGCATAGAGAAACATGCTGAAGGAACATAGCTCAGTGGTAGCGCATACACTTTGCATGCAAAGAATTCCAGATTCAATCCCTGGCATCTCCAAGTAGGTTGGGAAAGATTACTTCCCCAAATCCTTGAGAGCCACTGCCAGTCAGTACAGATGAGAAAGGGATGGGAAACCTCTGGATATTGTTTGCACCATCCCTGATAGTTGGCCAGCTGGCTGTGGCTGATGGGAGCGAAGTCCAATTGCATCCTGGGGGCCCTGGTTGCCAGACCCTTGAACCTAGTACAGTGGTACCTCGGGTTACATATGCTTCAGGTTACATACGCTTCAGGTTACAGACTCTGCTAACCCAGAAATATTACCTCGGGTTAAGAACTTTGCTTCAGGATGAGAACAGAAATCGTGCAGCAGCGGCGCAGTGGCAGCAGGAGGCCCCATTAGCTACAGTGGTGCTTCAGGTTAAGAACAGTTTCAGGTTAAGAACGGAACAAACTAAGTACTTAACCTGAGGTACCACTGTACTAAGCTAGGCCAATGGTCTGACTAGGTGTAAACACCTTCCTATGTGGATGAGGCTCAGTGAGCCTGAACAAAGTGCTGGGCTTGCAAATTCTCCCCTCTCTTCCCCCTCTGCCTCCTCTGAAACTGGAGGAAGGAATTATGCTAAGTTTAGTTTCATATTTAAAAATTCTTGCCTTAGTGTTATGTACCAGCCAGGAATCCTAATTTAAAATACAGTATATTCTAGCCAGTTTACAAGAAGCCAACTTCAAAGCTTGGGCTATTATTAAGCTAGGCAAAGTTTGTTGCAAGCCAAGCAAAACTAAGATCAGACTCTTTAAAAGTGAAACTATAAACTAAGAAGGGGGGTGGGAGTGTACAAACCTGACACTTGACTTGGACTCATTGAGACTCAGCCACATAGTTTCATGTTTCATACAAATACTGCAGTGTCACCCCAATCTTAAAGGTTTGTATATTTATCTGATCACATATAGTGAAACTGTGATTACCATACTTTATCATGTGCAAACGGGATACTTTGACAGCAGATTGCAAATGATATCTTTTCTTCTAGCATCGGAATATTGTTAGCTAGCTTAATGCGATCTTGTCTTTGTTGGCAGGTACACACTGGTGGATATTTTGCGCGCCATCCTTCTTTCCTTAGAGGCCATGATTGAGGATCCTGAACTTCAAGTAAATGGATTTGTTTTGATTATAGACTGGAGCAACTTCACTTTCAAACAGGCTTCTAAGCTGACACCAAGTATGCTTCGATTAGCCATAGAAGGCCTTCAGGTAAAAAACTTTTTTAAAGCATTAATCGTATATCTCCTAATCTTCCCTCCTCCTCACTCCCCCCCCCCCCAGTTGGTGTGGTTCCATGCTAAAAACAGAACAAGAAGAATATAAATTCAAACAACCCAGTAATTGAAATGTTAGGATATATATTCATTTCTCTCAATTTGTGACCTAACTGAAGAATAATGAAGTGGTTGTTTATTTTATGGCTGAGAAACTGAGTCTCATATTTGATGGTTGCCTCAAATCAATCAGCTCTAAATTATTATTGAGGGAAGAGAAATAACAAAAACTCCCAAAGGAGGCAGAGTTGGATTCCTGATGGATGTTGTGTGTTGTCCAGCCAAAGCAAGTTCCTCTTCAATAGTGGTATTAACTTTGGGATTCCCAAATGTGAAGTATAAGTTCATTCCCTATGAACTTGTTTGGAGTCTTCCCTCTGTGTTGTGTCTGTCTCACCTTTACCTGGGGCACATACTAGTCTGGATTGCAGCAGTTGACCTCTTGCGGGTGGGGAAGAGCATCTAAATGCAGGGAGGTGGAGTCAGTGGCGGAGCTTCAAGCTCTGGCGGGGTGTGTGGAGAACAGGTGGGGGCGTGCATCCTGGGGGTGTGGCATGCCACCCGCAGGGGCGTAACACATGTTCTGGGGGCGTGACACGCATTCTGGGGATGTGGCGTGCCGCCTGCGGGGGTGTGGTGCCCAGCGCAGGGGGGGGCAGCCGTGATGGCACCCCACCAGGATTGTGCTGCTGGAAGCAGTGCGCTCCCCCGCAGCCCTGTTCCTCCGCCAGTGGGTGGAGTCGATGGTACTTTGGCCTCTTCCTTCTGTAACTCATGTTTTTTCACTGATATCTTTTCTAATAACACAGAATAAGTTGGTTGTGCTAGTTGCTATGTACCACATGTAAGAAAACTGAAATTAACCCCCCCTCCAACAAACCTATAATGTAACAGATGTGCTACATTAGGTTTCTGGTGTGTTGTGAGGAGAGAGACAGAACACATAACTGGATATCCATGCTTGTATGAATGATTGCAGAATTAATTTTACACTAGCCACGCATCGGCCACCTCAGGACTATGGAGATGCATTTCTGAGATTGTGAAAATCTTTCTTTCAGTATGCAAAATGTCATTCCTATGCAAGCTTCCCACCTTGTCTGTTTCTAAGCATCGCTCAGCACATGAGTTGAGTGTGTGTGTGTGTGTGTGTATTGCACAGCCCTGCCAGCTGCCACCATTGCTTTGAGTAATGCACAGTGGCCCTGTTTCATGTGGTGAATAAATGCTTCACAGCATTTATTTGGGAGGTAGGAAATTTGCTACTGGGACATTGACCGCTGTGGTGAAAGTAATGTCTAGATTGGCTAAAACATATCTTCATGTCCTCAGGATAGAGTTCTGAGGTGGCCTCAGTAGTTCACAAACCACATGGAGAGCTTATTGTTTGTAGTTTCAGGCTATACAGTAAACTGGCTGTCACCACACACCCAATTCTCTCAATTTTCTACCATGTTTAGGAGTGGGGTGATTCTTGGCCTGAGGGCAACAGAAAATGAGTTCATTAGTGTGGTTAGAGGCACCACAGCACAATGTTTTCAGAGGCCACTATGCGGTAAATGGTTGTGTGATTCAACCCTGTATCTTGAGAGTTTGCTGATACCTTAATGCTTAATGGAGGTTGCTGTGAGCTTTTTCTTAGCCATTAACTGCATACTTGATTAAAGTTATCTATAGGTTAAAGTGCTTCTCTTGCAATGTTAAATCATTGAATCATGGTACATAAGTGCTTTATGTTGTATTTAATAAATGCAAAACTATCTTCATTAAAGCAAATGTTTATCTAAGAGGGAACTGAATTTTTATATCCAAATATTGAGGTTTTTTGCCTCATTTCTTACTGCAGTCAGTTCTGCTTTTACTCGAGGAAATGCTTTCATTCCCTTACATTTCAAGCTCTGAAATGTTTTTATGACTCCTATAAAGCAAATGAGCAACCATCTCTATGAGCTTTTATGCGCTCTGATATTGCAGTCAATTTTAGCAGGGCCTGCTGGAATTTTCATCGTTCTTCTGTAGAGTTATGATCTAAGGCCACTCTCCCATGTCGATTCTACACCCAATATATATCAGGCTAATGAAATGGATTCGCATGTCCCTGGACTTGACACAAGACTGTTAGATAAATGCCAGGTTGGTTGAGGAAATGCACATTTCTTTAGGGCTGGGGCAAAAATGACTCATTTTTCACCCTCACCCCTGAGTGCAGAAAGTCACTTTCCATTTCTGGAAACTTTAGACACACTTAATTGTTCTTCTGGGCACCATTTTCCTGCTTCTGTGCAGGAATGTGCCCATTCTAGCACATTATTCAGGTCTTCTAGCTTCTGTATAGAAGAACATAGGAGCAGGGCTGCACTCAGTAGCCCTGCCTCTAATATGATGCAAATTGAGAAGCCAGTCTGCTGGCATCCACACATAGAGAGTAGATGTCTACTGGGAAGGTGCTCCCCCAACTATACAGCTGGATGTACAAACATCTACAGATGTTCTCACTATTTGCATAGATGCTGGGAGAGGGCCTTCCCAGAACACATGATATTAGGAGGGGGGATACTACTTGGCCTGTTCCTGCTCCTGTGTCACTGCATGAGTGAGCTAGAATGCCTGAAGAGGGGCTACTGTATTTTGCCCTGTTTGCCCACCCGGTTGTTTAATCTGATTGGTGGTGGTAAGCCATGTGACGTCACCATAGTATTCTGACATGATGATGCCACAGAAACATTGAAACAAAATCACCGGAGCCCATAAGTTTAAATGACATTGTGGGAAAATCAGAAAGGAAATAGTGTTCCAGAAACAACCAGAAGAACAAAAGGAACAGCATGAAAACAATGGAAATATTCAGTTGGAACTTAAATCTGCCTCTTATGTATGTTGTTTTCCTCTTCCATTCCACATGAGCTGTGGTTACTCTTCCCTTGAAAATGCCCACCCTTGGAGTGGATAAAGACAACCCACAGGTTTTTCAAACAAAAATTAATCTAAGGAGGTAGACTTACTTACAAAGCAATCCATTACATGTCTAGTCAGAAGAAGTTAGTCCCATTGTGTTTACTGTGGCTTGCTCCCAGATAAGTGGCTATAGGATTGCAGCCTTCAGTGCCCTTCTCCTGACACCTCACATGTGGATTTGTTCTGGGTATTATACTTCCTTGAGATATATTGGAATTTGGCTTGGGGACTGTCAGTTGTTCTACAAATCATCTCTTTGTTTATGTTCCTATTTATCAATGTTAAAGCATTCCTGTACATTGCAATATTAATTCAGCAGCACCCACCAAAACATTTTAAGGAGCCATTCAGGACTCACGATGACTGCCCTGAATGGGCTAAAGTGTTGTTTTGGGAGGCCACTTGCTGAATCTGAATGAAAACCTTCAGGTGACAGTCAGAAAAAAAGAACATTCATAAACTGGTTCCTTTCCTTTTCTTGCCATGTGACGGGCACATCAGAAACTGGTCTATCTGAGTTACAGAGCAGGTTAGAAAAGTACAGATGGGAGATAATGAAAAGGGAGCATAACCACACGGCGTACTTGCTGTCTTGATAAACAGCTACGCCATTTAATCAGTGGAATTGTATTTGCTTTGGCTTACAAGACTTTGCCGAGATCACATGGCAGCTGAGGAAGAAAAAAAACTAGCACTCTAGTAAATTAATTGCTTTTACAGAAAAAGAAAAAAGACACAGAGATGGGTGGACGGGTGACTCCAGCAGACTAGCACAGGCTGTTTAACACTAAGTGGACCTGTATACCAAATCAGCCTGCTTAAAGGTAGCCAACACTTTGTACTCCAGACGTTGCACTACAACTCCCATTATCTCTGATTGTTGTCCATATTGGCTGGGGCTGATGGGAGTTGGAGTCCATCTGGAGGTCACCACATTGCCAGTCCCTGATCAGCAGTGACCTAATGGGGTTAGGTGGAGAGCAGTCTACAATAGCTCCTCAAGCTGCAGTTCTAACCCCACTAACCTGGAAGTGAGGTCCGTTGAGGACTTCTGATTGTGCACAATGAGGATTGCACTGTTATTCCAAAAAATGGTTGGAATGCATACTGAGTGACTCTTTGGTGACCTTCTTTCCTGCAAGGTACAGAAGCACCTTGGTTATGTGAGAGATAAGGGATAAATACATGGGTCCTCCAGGGTGCCCTATTGTCTTGTCTCACTTTCTGGACCCACATGCATGATTTCCCTCTGGATGTCATTAGGCAATATTTGGTCCACCTCTACCTAATTACGTTGTATGGATGACATTTGAATTCCAGAAACATTTCATGAGTTGAAAAATAATTTCATACAAGTGAAATGGTAGAGTTTGGTGCTCTTCTTTGAAGGACAGCTTGTTGTTTTATGGTTCTTCATTTTCATTGCTTAGCTCAGAAAAATCTTGCTTATGGTGTAGAATGGTAAGCAGTGTCATTAATCTGATCAATTTTGGTAGTCGAGTTGCATAGAAAGCCAGATTCTGAGTGTTGTGATAAACAAATGTGGGGATTTGAACCCTGTTCTCTCGAAAACAACAGGTATGTTAGTCAGAGGTGAAGACTGAGGGCCACATTTTCTTCTAGGCTGTCTTATACCAGTGCTGGGCAAAGCGAGATGTCAACGTGAATAGATGCAAGAGGTCGAGTGTTGGGCTCAGTGCTATGGAGCTTGTGGAGTTGAGTCAGCATGGGAAAACTCATTCATTGTGTCTCCTTCTGCATCATAGGGATTATAATAAAGTGCATTTTCATGTAAAAACCTACCACAAGACTCTGAAGCAGTGCATTTGCAAAAAAAGAAAGAAAAGTGTATCAAACTGTATTGAAACTTTGTAGGTAACCTGGATTGAAAGTGTGGCGGCTCTACTGTTGAAACAAAAATCACACTGGAGCTTGTTTGTTTGTAGCAAATAGTTTTCAAATGGTGTAAAAGTCTTAAGC